CTTGAAGGCATTAGGGGGAAGAGTTACCAATATTAGAGATTTAAAATGTATCCAGGGAATGGCCTTTCAGAGGGAGACAAGTGAAGCTAGATATCTGCTCAGGGAGATTAACTGATAGAATAATTACTAGAATAGTAGATGGATTCCTCCTTATAGTCTATAAAGGAGTACTACTGTACTTATAAGTGACTACACCATAAGTTCACAAAAAACACAAACTAAAATAAATTAGATGATTGGGTAAAATGCATATTTTTATTTGTTCAAGTTTCACATTTCATTACAAATAACAATTCAATATTTGTACCAATTTCAAAACATTTAGTATTTTTATACAGTATAGCTAAAAGATATTCACTGAGATGTTAACCAAATATTGGCAAGATAAGAAAATCTCAATCCCCAATCTACAGGGTGGGCCAAAGAAAATTGGAACATCTTTTCCATTCATTGTAAATTTATTGTTAGTCATGTATTATCTTCAATACATGTACTTTAGGAAATTGAAAACAATTTATTGTCAACACCTTGTGGAAATATGAATATACAAGCTAAACATTTAATCATTCAATGCAAGGGTTTCCTGAACATGTCCTCCACCCACCTGAACAATCAGCCTGAGCAGTTTTTGACATACATGGCTTAAATGATAGGTTTTGGTACATTTTGTGCCAGTTTTGAAAAAAACTGAGGTCAGTTAAGCTAAATAACCCAAGGAGGGCATGTCTAGCTACTCCTAAAGATAACTACATATGTTTAATTGATGGACATTGTGTTGAGACTACATGTATTTCCAGCAGTGATGTCTCAAGCAGAGAAAATTAGAAACTTTCCATGACCATTAATTGATTTTTTGTGGACTGAAGTGTAATATTAAAGGAAATTGAGTAAATAGAAAAATGGTCCAATTTTTATTGGCCCACCCTGTAAAGTGATGAAATTATTAGAATACACTTTAATCTGGTCTTATACATGTATTGTTCTGATTGGATAGGAGGCTCAGTAAATACATTAATTGTGTTGAATATTCTGTATTGCCATACATGTAGCTCTGGTGAAAATAATATGGCGTCTCCTTTCGGAAATATTCTTTTTTAAAAAGCATATTTTTTGAAATCCAATAAAATATTTTTCTTACTATAAAATATGTAAGCTTTACTCAAAATATCTAAGTTGAACAAGGTGCAAACTTTATAATAGAACAATCGATTTTTCAAGAAAGGTCTGAACAGAATTTATCAGAATTACAGTTCCATGAAAAAAAGAAATCAGATGATTTGCTTTCATAAAATATTGTGATATGGTTCATTCCATTGATTGTGAACATTGGTGTACTGGTGACTTTCCAGCAGTTTGAGTTGTCCTTAAAATAAAAATTGATATTTGATTAATAAAAATGTATTTTTAAATTTTGCATGGGGCCTTTAGCAGTGAATAACAGTCATGGTATACCATCATACAGGGCAATACAAATATCTAAAAACACTTAATGAACCATTACTTGTATCTGAATCTTATTCACAGAACACTACACAAAGGTTAAAGGAAAGGATTTGAATACGACTTGAGAAAGTACATGTATTTGTGAACTTGGCCCAAGTGCCCCATCCTCTCCGACCTCCATGTAGCCCTGATGCTACCCCAAATTGCGCACCGTTCATTTACTTTGAATTGAAAGCCCTCAATGACACATGCCCCAAAACTCCAGGCTAGTAAAAAAAGCTGTACAGAAATAATTAAACATGATGCTAGATGCATAGAAAACCAGCAGAAATTAAAGTTATTGAAATTCCAACAAACATTGAAAGGATCAAATTAAAATAATTGATTTGAATGATAATCAATGACATTCCAATTGCTAAGATTCCTGAGCTAGAATATTTGGAATGTATAGTACAGGTATCCCCAAATTATAGGAGTCTCATTAAAAGATTTTATATCCATTTTAAGACACTTTCATTACTTGAACTTCACATATTTGGTAAATTACAGTATTCCTTAAGAATGTGTCCATTGCTTAATAATCATTACAATTATTACATTTGTCACTAGCATTAACCTCCTAGTGCGAGGCAGTGTAGCCTCTTTTTCTTTGCATTTTAAAGGTTTCTGTACCATTCAGTTTTAAATTTGCCATATATCCATCATTCAGCAGAAGCTATACTTGATTGTTTTGCAAGAATTAGCCTACTTCTATTGGCTTATGTAATACAAAACAATGTTTTTTTTTCACTTGGCCCTACACCAGACTGGATTTATTGGCC